TATCTATATCTATATCTATATCTATATCTATATCTATATCTATATCTATATCTATATCTATATCTATATCTATATCTATATCTATATCTATATCTATATCTATATCTATATCTATATCTATATCTATATCTATATCTATATCTATATCTATATCTATATCTATATCTATATCTATATCTATATCTATATCTATATCTATATCTATATCTATATCTATATCTATATCTATATCTATATCTATATCTATATCTATGTATATCTATATCTATATCTATATCTATATCTATATCTATATCTATATCTATATCTATATCTATATCTATATCTATATCTATATCTATATCTATATCTATGTATATCTATATCTATATCTATATCTATATCTATATCTATATCTATATCTATATCTATATCTATATCTATATCTATATCTATATCTATATCTATATCTATATCTATATCTATATCTATATCTATATCTATATCTATATCTATATCTATATCTATATCTATATCTATATCTATATCTATATCTATATCTATATCTATATCTATATCTATATCTATATCTATATCTATATCTATATCTATATCTATATCTATATCTATATCTATATCTATATCTATATCTATATCTATATCTATATCTATATCTATATCTATATCTATATCTATATCTATATCTATATCTATATCTATATCTATATCTATATCTATATCTATATCTATATCTATATCTATATCTATATCTATATCTATATCTATGTACATATATATATATCTCGCAATTTGTTTAAGTTTTCTTTTCTTAGTGTCGCATTCTCAAACGCTTCGATTACCTAGAAACCTCGCTTAGCTAATGATGCGCTTATCACAGGAAACCATTCACATATGTCCTCACCATATGACCACCTCTTGCAATTTTCTCGTAATCGAACACTCAATTAAATTGCATTACTGTAATTTCAGGATGGCAACAGAAACGCATGAAATTTTGAACATACGCCGCGCACATGATGCATTCCCAGATCGATGGGTGCTGTGGCTGTGCGTTCGGGGTTCAGAGTTGTTAAAGATGTGTGCAATAACTGCGCAATATATCAAACAAATACACCTGGGACTACCCAGCGAGTGCACCCGGGGATGTTTGGCTCGTGAGCGTGAAAAAAATAAAATGAAATAAAATAAAAGAAAAGCAAAACAATGGAAAACTCCAAATGGACATGGAAAGGGAATGCAAACGAAAATTTTATTTATATGCGATTTGATGGAAATGCAAGGGGGTTGGGTAAAGAAAACAAATAAAAATAATGGATTGAATCACATTTTGGTAAAGAGTCAGTGGGCGAGATGAAACCGTAGACTCCATTGAGTCTAAAGTATGCAGTTGCATCAGCGACGGGAAAAACAACAAATGACAACAAATGTAAAGCAAACAAAGGAGGGGAGTTGTCCAGGCAAACATTTCACAAGTGGATCGCCCCCCATGAAAACGCGACAAAGACCAAAGATTTAAAAGTCATATACAAAAGGCCGAAGACTAAATACCCTTCCAGATATATGACATAAATATTTCTGATGTGTTTCTAATGTGGATATGACACGATCTTATACAAAAAATTAGATCAGAGACATACGTGAAATTCTATTATATTCTATATGAACTCAGCTTTTGATACTGACCAATATATAAACATATATATATAGTTTCTTCACATGTTTGTTGACCAATTGATAATACCCTCTGAAAGGGTGTACAAAAAAAACGACCTTGTAAAATGTGAATGTCACTTTAGTCCAACTCTGGGATGTCGTTCTGCTTCGCCTTAACCACTTCCGTTTTGTTGTCCAAAAAACCGTGAGCATTGTTGTTGTTTCTACCGCCATGCTAATCCTGTAACTGAGCCCTCGAGGGTGCCCCTGTGGCCCCGGCACGCCTCAGTGACTTTCGCTGTCGCCAGCGCAGCCTCGGCGCCCTTGGCTGGGATTAATTCCACACATTAGCCGGAAATTGTATATATGCAGTATATGTATATGCCCGTGCCCTGCCTTGCCTGGCCAGTTGGTTATTCCGTGAATATGTTTTTTACTTATAAAGTGTGCCTAATGCCAGGAGCTAAGCCTGGAAATCTTCTCGAGCTAAGCTGACATGACCAATGGCGGCCACTTGTTAATTTCTCATACTAATTTTCGGTGGCAGCTCTTTGCGCTTGCTTTGCTTTGGTCTCATCATTTTTTAAGGGGTTTCCAGTTGCCCCTTTCATTAATCACACTGATCGCTTTTCGAGCACGCACTATTCGCCATCATTTTTTAGGATTTGGCGCGCATGTGGAATTTCCACACGCAGCTTCTCAAGGGAAATGCGACGCAGTTTCTCTCTCAGTTTTAGCCGAGTAATTGAAATTTGTGTGAGTGATAAATTCAGTTGTGGTGCGCCATGTTAAGCACATGATTAGCGCATTTTCCTCGCACAACCGACAGTTTTCCACACACACACACACACACACACATACACGCATACACACAGTTTTTTGGCCAGCCCGCTGTGCCGATACCCGCGGGAAATGGAGGTGTGGCACATTCGTGCCTGGCTTGCCAACAATGGCTTTTAATTATTTATTGCCTAATGACCTAATGACTTTTCTTTTGCCCAGCCTGAGAAGACCAAAACTCACTGTGATTGGCATATTGCTAGTCGACAGCAACAACTGAGGCCAGAGATAACCAAACTGAGCCAAAGTCACGAACAGCCAAATGAAAAATTTTTTTCTCATGGCTGGGAACTTATGGCTTTAGTCAAAATGATCGTTTTTCGAAAATTCTAATGCATTTGATTGTCAACCTGTCTCAACAAGAATCCCCCCATTGACTATGTGCCGAATTTGGACACAGGAAATAAATAGATATGCAAAAGCTTTAATCTTACTCAACTTATGCTTTATTGCTATGAATCGTTACTATCCGTCAGAGATTTCGTTACGGGTTTCCGTGCTCAGCAAGAACTGAAGGGGGAGACACTTAATATATTAGCTTTTCAAATATGTATTTCAAAGGTTCGACTTAACTCATTCTACAAACAATAAACACTTCAGTTTACAGTCCAGAGTACTTCTTATTATGGTTGACTTTATGGTTTCTATTTATTGTGCCAGAGTTCTATAGAGTTTTATATGTCAGACTCAGTAACTTTAAGCAGCTCTTAAATATCAGCTATAAAAAGAGTAGTATAAAAATAATATATTGCAAAACAAATAATTATTAGTTTAATACACTGATGGGAATCAAAAATTTGTAACATTACATTAAGCTTTAATTGCTACTTTATTTCTTTCTTTACTAGTAAAAGTTAGTTTCTTATTACTTATTTATACTCTTCTTAACTTTCTTGGTGATTTAATATTATAATTTGAAACGAATTCTGAATCCAGGCATTTAAATTCGTATTGCGTCTGGTCAGTTTAATGCACTTTACCTTTTTCGCAAACAATCTAATTGCCCTATAATCCCATTAGCACCTTTATTAGCTGTCCAGACTGTAATTCAGCTGGTAGCCCCAGAAGTCAATATTGCCACTCCTTCTGCCCAGCGCCCACAATCAACTCAATTTGCAAATTGTGGCCTGGCATGTGCCACACTTGAAAGTATTTTAAAACCATTTATTTCAAATGACCCACACGATGAAGACGACGACGAGGAGTTGGGCCGACAATTTTAAAACTCCGAACACGTAAAGGTAACCAAGGAACTTGGCCACGATTGCAACCTGGCCCGGGCCGTTGTTGGTGCCATAAAAAATTCATTTGACTTAAAAACTTTCCGAGAGACAAAAAACCAAAGCAAGCTGAGGCAAAAACTGAGCAGCAGTCGGCAGTCGAAATTGATATTAAGTCAGGTGGCGCGTGTCCATTACACGCATTGCGGCCAGAAAGCGAAAGCCTCATAGAATTCAGGTAGAATATAGATATATAGACAGACTGGGAGTAGAGAGAGAGAGAAAGGGAGTCCAAACTGACAGTTTTGAGGCACGCACATCCCGTGCATGGCATAAACAAAACAATGCCCGCTCCTCAAACAAGAACTCAGCTCTCAACGCAGAGCAAATTTGCTTAGCCAGCGCGGAAATTGTGGCCTACTGGTGCTCTATTGTCTTATTGAACTCCGCCAAGAGTAGTAGGAAACGGAAGCGCGGCCCAGCCGCAGGCAGAAGCGCAACCCCCGCACTTCTTGCCAAGCCCCTCAGCCATGGTCAGCGGTCGGCGTTTTGTCAAGAGGCGCACGTGAACTATTAAAATCACTTAAGTGCAATTCATGTCACGTTCGCGGGGAGTCAGCCCAAAACTTACAAGCGATTGATATATGCGATGTCAGTCCTTGTATATGTGTGTTAAATTATCTGTGAGTGTATGTGTGTGTGTGTGAGATAAATGAACTGACAGAATGGCTGGCCAATTCTTGATCAACTTAAGGCCATTTACATAAATCCATTTCCCATTCTCTCTTGTCAACTTTTATGACGGCCAAGGTCATTTTTAATTCAATTTTTGGATTTGGGTGCACAGAAAATACGATTGAATAATAAACCAAGAGATTCCGGGCTCGAGTAGCACCCTACTGAATGAATGTAATATTTCTAGCCAAATGTTAACAAATGTTTAACAATAGGCTATATTTTAATAATAATACTAATATATTGTGAATGAGTTTCTTACTTATTTTAAAAAACGAGCTGAAGAACTATCTCTTTATCAGGTTGACTGAAGTGCATTAGCCCCTAAAAGTCATCTGTCTATTCGTTCCTTTCGCCAATCTATAATATTCCACTCCGTCTGTTTATATAAATATCAAGTATTTCCTTTCGCTCGTTTATTTATGTTTATCTCGCAACGTTCTAAGCTTGCGGCCAATAGTTTGACAGATCGAACGAAACTTTGTACATCTCATTTATCTTCTTTTTTTTTCCCCAAAGTTGAGAGTTGAAGTAAAATGAATCAGTACTCACATGTTAATAGTTCCGGCATAAAAGACATTTTTGATTCCACTAGATCACATTGTTTAAACAGCATTAACTGAGTTTTTCACTGTAATAAAAATACAAACAATTTTTAATAATTTAATGAATAAAAATATAGATGGTTTATATATACTATATTATACAAATTTCCAGCTTGCTTAAATTGTTTGCATCGTTTATATGGGATTTAAATTCGTGTCGGAGTTTTGATTAATTTACTAACCAAAAGCCACTCAATGCTTATATGTATTTGCGTTTTGTGGCTAAGCTTCCAGATTATTTGAATATTTAAATACATTTTGACGCTTGACGAGATTCCCATTCGCATTTTTAATGAAAAATGTGCAGGGATGCGTGTGCAGGGAATAAACAGCAAACAGTTGTATAACATATGGCAATGTTTTGTTGGCCAAAATAGATTTGATCTAAGCTGATTATTTGCATTGGCCAGCCAGGGTAAAGCATTTGACCCAATTCTGTCAAATAAGCAAACAAAATATTACTGTGAATTGGTTTTTGGACACAGTTGCATATGTTGATTAATTTTACGACTATTTGCGTACACCCCCAAAACAATTAATACGAAACCGCAGAGATCTTCTGTGTTTTTGCTCCATGCGACGTGTTGTCAATTAAATGCTGGAAAATTAAATGCCACAAGCCGCAGGTCTAATGAAAGCTGCAAAGAGGGGCACAAACGTTGTCCCACCATTTACAAGGCAGCCACTTGACAGGCTAAGCAACAACAACAAAAACAAAGACACAATTGCACTTCTTACCCTCTCCACATTTCCCTTACGCCTTATATATAGGGGTATCTCAGCTGCACTGATTAATTACAGGCAAATAAATTTTCCACCTCTCGCTGCTTCGCTCGTCCACACGCTTTTCATGTCATGTGTGGAAATGATAAAAATACTTAGCACTGTGTTAGCATATTTTTTTTAATACCCTGTATCCATAACTGAAGCATAAAGGGTATACAAATATTTTGATAAGATTTGTAGCACATGTAAAAGCGGACAATTCATAAAAGTAGGCACAGAAGGATTTTTATATATTCCCAAGAATGACAAATTCTTGGGAAGATCTTGGCATATACATTCTGTTTGAACCCAGAATTTCATGATAATGTGTGTGGAATGCTAATTACAGGAGTTGCTTATAATTGGGAGTGTGTTAGGGTTTTCGCATCCATTTATATAGTATCTTAAAGTCAGACACTCTCAACTATCTGAGTCTGATTGTGTTTTTTTTGGTTGTATTTGAAATTTATTTCTGCTTCTTTGCTTTTTTGGATTATTAATTACGCTGACACTTTGGGTCTGCGCTAATGAGCACCAAAATAGAATTTTTCCATAATTTGGCTTCTGTCTATAAGAATATCTTGGATTCGTATTTATGTTTCGTGGACAAGCGAGCCAAGCACCTCCCGTTTGCTCTGCTCCGCCCGCCCCCAACTGCACAATTTATGCAAATGATGCTCGTTGGGCAAACATAACCTCATTTTGCCTGGCCCAACTCCAATATAGAACGCTAGATGTCGCTGTTGTTTCTGCTGATGGTGCTTTTGCTGCTGCTGTTGCTGTAGATGCTGTTGGCCATTCGCCTGGCACTTACCTCTACAGTACACGTCCATGAAAAATGATTATAAGTGGGTCACAGGATATGCAAATGTTTCTTTTTCACGCTCAGCTTACGACAATGCCAGAATGGAGCGAACTGGAGCACAGCTGCTGTGCCGTCCGCCAGAGGGCGTTGCCATGGGCGGCAGGTGTTGGGCCACTCTTGAGTTATATATGTGGCCCGTCGACTGTACAACTACGTACTTGGCAGGACATTTTGCAAATGCAACTGAAAGTTTGCCAAGAAAATGGTGAAAGTTTTTTGCGCTTTCGTATTTTATATCCGCCAGCGACGCCAGTTGCAAGTTGGCAGTTGCAACTTTAATTTCCATAGAGGAGCCCAGCGGGCGCTGACACGCAACATGAACACCAATGTGAGCAAATGTGAGTGAACAGTTCAGCAATTGGCCAAGGACAACGAGAAAAAATAAAACAAGAAAAAGAGCAACAACAACGCCTAAAGTTACATTTGATTTAATTTTCTTTGTCAGTTTCAAGAACTTGCCGAAATCAAACGCACAACGCATGAAAACTAATCAAAATTGCGCTTGTCCTGGGACCAGAACTTCCCTTCCCACTTCCCCTCCACACATTGACCCCGTGTCTCAGCCAGGATGCTGCCGGCCATTTGCGCTTTTCTCGTTTGCTTCCTGACACATGCACATGTCCTGCGAACTGTCCCAGAGTGAAAGTTTATTTAGCTTTTTACCATGCCTTCGCAAGTCAAATGTTTAAAATGTGTCACTAGTTTTGTCATTTGCTTATTTATTTCTGTTATGTTTTTATATGCATTCAGTTTTTACTGAAAATGCAGAAATAAATATAATACAGATATCAGAAATGTGTGTGCATTTTGCTAAGGGACGAGGTCCAGAGCATTCTCACAACTGGACAAGCTTTGTGCTGCCTTTTGGACATTGAAATTGAAATAAAACTGCAGACAAATCCTTGGCTTGTGCATGAAATGCAAAATGAAAAGTTAACAATTGACAAAGAAATATGCATTTTTTACCCACAAATCAAATTAAATCCATAAAGAAGGCAAATATTAAAAGTATTTAAATAATCCATATTTTATGATTCTAGCAAAGCAAACTTGAGGAACATTTACTGATTAATAGAAAAAGAAAGGCATGATTTTACCATCTATAAGAGTATTTAATAAATTAATGTTTGGCAAATCAAATAAATGCAAACAAACATTTACAAAATACTTTACTTTATAAAAACAAAAATATTAGTCTTATTTTAAACATTTAAGAGCTTAAGCCAGATCCCGAGAACAAAAACTTAAAAGCTACGCAGCTCAACCACAGAGCACTGATGACCGAAAACCAAGACGTGCCCCAGTCCCGAGTTTTCCCGCAGCTCCAACACGGATTTTTGTTTGTTTTGTAGCGCTTCTTTAAGCTGCAAACATTTTGCTTAGTTTGGCAAAAACACGCAGCGACCATTTTTCATATTTTCATTTATAAATTTATTATAAAGCCAAAAGCAGCAGCAGCAGCAGTAGCAGCAGCAACAGCAGTGAGAGCAACAGCTACTCTTGGCTGTTGGATGGGCTTAATAGCAACAATTTTCCCCCCTGCCTCCGAAGAGACCAATGGCAGCCAATGCTGCCGCTTGCCACAACCCAACCCACTCTGGCAGTGCTCTGAGCTGCGGTTTAGAGCAACGGCTACTTTGGCATTTATTTTAAATTATAGTTCGCAGTAATAACTAATGCTCAGAGAGCAGTTGCTGTTGTTGGTTATTGCTGCTGCCAGTTGCTGTTTGTTGTTGTCGACTGCCATGTACAGAAATTATAGACATTTTGGTCTGGGGCTTGTGTGTAGTTTTTGGCCGTTTAATGACAGTATTTGCGAGCTATGCCAAAGTTCTATGGCAGCTTGACATGAGATTCTGGTCGGGTTCTGGGGGGAGGGCAGTTTCAATTAAATTTACTGCAAAATGAATGTGGGATTAAACACAGTTTGACAAGTCATCTGCATAATTATGAAAATTCCCCAGGAAACCAGTTGACATTTTTCAGCCACTAATTGAAAATTCCTCAAGTCAAGTTAAAGCTGTCAAGCAGCTGGCAAGTTTCTCGCCAATTTCCATGAACAACAATGCCAATCGAATGTGTTGTGAGAACGAATTTTCACCATCATCGGCAATCGGCCCCATTGGGGCCCACAGCATTTGTGCCCTAATGGCCAAACACGCCCACCCTCCAATAACCTCCAACCCGCCCACACGTCAGTAAATATGAATGAGTTCCAGTTAATGAAATATTGAAATATGAATAGACAAGCTCGCCTTCGTACACTCCAAAGCAATCATATGTCCATCAGGCAAAACTTTGCACAGTGCCTGCCAAAGCCAAAAGGAAACTTAATCAAGGAAAATGATTGGAAAGGACTCTCACATACCCTATACCCAATGCTGAAATGGGTACATAAAGCTAACAAGATTCAGTTGAATTTTTGCATTCATTTGGTTTGGAAATTACCTGGCTTATACGGGTTGTACATTTATATAAGTTGTCTAAAATATACCCTTCATATCTGCACAGATAGGCTATTTAGAAAAAAAATATAATGTAATCGAGAGGTAGGGGGAAATATAAAACCTTTACCGCGAAGGCACCCTCTCATCAGAAAAAAAAATAACCCGAAACAAACAAAAATTACAACGCTTAATTATGAAAAGTGTTTTTTTCCTTCAGTTCGTCGAGGAAAATGAGTAAAAATGTAGAAAGCACACGAAACGAGTTAATGAGCGAAATTATAATGAAGTTTTTCCTCACTGCGCTGTTCGACAAGCGCGAACCACCCTTATTGGACCTGGATGTGGGTCAGAGCTGGTTTGGGAGCTGCTTCTAATGGGGCTAATCAAATATTTGACATTTGTTTTGGGTGGAGCTGATGTTGAGCTGTTGTTGTCTAGTGTAAAACTCATTACAATCGCAGCTCGCAACGCAGCTCTCAATGTTAAGCAGGGCAGTCAGCCGTGCCGTATGCAGCGGAATATTTCATTAAATCGCTTAACATTGCAACAGTGCAACCCAAGCAACCAGCCTACAACCAACGACCAACATCAACAGCCACATTAACACTGACGGCAACAACAGCAGCAGAAAAAAAGACAAATGAAGAGTATGATGTGATATGAGTACAATAAGTAGGATTGGGCCAGCAGGAAAATTAAACTGCCTCTGCATAATTTTAACTAATAAATGGAAAAAATTATCATATAAATTTTTAACAAATATTTAAAGTTTTTTTTTATATCTGTTATCCGAGAATTTAGATAATTAAAAGACATTTACTTTAACTAACTTCGAATTTTGCAAGATTTACATTCGGTGTACTCTTTTAAATCTTAAAATAAATAATGAATTATTAATAAAATTGTGTAAAGAGTTTGTCTTTTTTTTCCACAAAAATTGATATTTGCGGATATCTGTTAAATTTTCAAGTGGTCTGCAAAATTTCTTAATAAATATTCCTAAAATACATGACAAACTAAGGCTTGAACTAAAATCTGGGTTCATGAAATTGGAAACTCGACTCACGAACCGAACTTAAGGCTAGCAAATGCAATTGTCATCATTTAATAGATGAATACACAAATATATCAAAGAGGCTTTAATTTCCATTGACTATCTAGTCAGTTTGCAGCACACTTTGATTTTTAAATAGATTTTTAATCTTTATTATATATTAAATAGCTCACGGGAAGAATAGCTTATGATATGCAAGCTGATAGTCGCGTACATCCTGCAGCTGCTTGTGTATTGACTTAGATTACGGGTACAACAACCTTCATGAATGTTCTTAATAGTCCGAATTGTAGATGCCAAGGGGTATTAAAGTGTGAACGCTTGCACACAAACGAGCAGAGGAAAATGAAAAAGACAAAAACGGAAGCGGAAATGTTTAATGCGGGTTTGGCAGCGCTGAGAACGATGCGTTGACGCGTCCTCGCTGACCGGCTGGTTGACCAGCGCCAAGCAGAGGCCGAGACCGAGACTGAGCCGGGTCCTGTCCATGTGAGTTACACGCTAACGAAAGCCGATAAATATTTATTTGCATGTGTGTGCGTGTGTGTGTAAATGTGCGCTTGTGTGTATGTTAATTAAGAATTTGCAGCAGGCTGGCAGACGATTAAATGTGTACGAAAATGTGCCGCCCAGCCCCCTGACCCTCCCGCCACCTGGAGTCCAGTACAATCGATGTGCTGGACACGCAGAGGATGACCATTAGTTCCGCTGGCCGGGGCAAGGGTTGGTAGCGATAATCGAATGAATTAATGGAACACGCAAATGAAATAAAAATCAGCAGTGCCAGCGATTCATTTGGATAAATCTCTTTACCCGGCAGCGAATACAAATAGCAGTGCACACTGGTTTTTTCGGTGCCAAAGCTCTATATCAGATCTATAGCTTAAATCAAGATAAAGAAAATGTTATCTGAAAAATATGTATAAATAAAAATCATGGCTATCAATGTTTTTTAACTCGTAGGAAAAAAGTAAAGTTCCATAAAAAAATAACTGACCCCATATACTTTATAGGTAAAAATATAGCACTGTCTTACAAAACGTCACAATTGCTGAAAGCTGTTCGAATCAAAACCGAAAACCTTGATTAAATTAAAAATATTAAAATATTGAATACAATTAAAATATTAGGCAATATTAACAATTAACTAGAGTCATAAAATTAAAACATTTTTATTATTAAAATAGTTTTATATATTCTTTAAGATTTTCACCTTCCTAATGTGTGCATTGCTTGCAAGTTTTCTGTACACAAACTTTACGATAAATTGGCAACTGAATATGATAAAAATCAAAATACTTGTCAAAAATGCATAAACATCTAAATTATTGGCTGCTATGAAGCCCATGTGAACCAGGGGACCTTGCAAATGAGGTGCTCCATGATGTCTCAGAACATACTCGGTCCAATAGAGCACGCTCTGACTCGCAGTCAATGGGCGATCGCGGAATAGCTTCGAAAAAGCTTTTACTTTTTGCGTATATTCGGGATTCTCGAGAACTTCTATAATTTTGTCATGAAAGGGTTGCTCCTCCAGGGTTAATAAGCTCATGCTTAGCCCAAACCCATCCTTTACCATTTTATCAGCATTGGCAGGCTGATCGCCAAACACAGGAAGCGAGAGCATGGGCTTTCCATGAAACTGAGACTCGTTGATGCCGCCTCTTCCTGCATGATTTATAAAGAGCCTGATCTTGGGATGTGCTAGAATATCATCCTGTGGTACCCATTCTGAGTATAGTATATTTTCTGATTTTCCAGGAATCTTATTTAGATCTTCCCATTTCCAAATAACTTTTTGCTTTAATTTGGACAGCACATTGAACATTTTTTTGACGGTGCTGGGCTTTAGGTGAGAACCCCTTACATTGGAGCCCAGGCACAAGAGAATGGCGCCGTCTTTAGCATCACTTAGAACATTTGCAAATTTTAAGGGCAACGGATCTGGCTTATCCTTAATTTGAATGCCTCCCACCTCTATGACTGCTGGAACGCTGGATCTGATAGGACCCTCGCTAAAGGAGTGAGAATTAAAGAGTACAAGCGAAACATTCTTGTTGAGGTCTGCATACGCCGGCATGCTGGGATCGTTGCCATAGAGTTCTCTGCGAAAATGGATGCTTTTTAACATATCATATTCCGAAATTGGATGTCCCGCTTACTTGTAGGCTTTTGCGTTATCGAGCTCAATGACATACGTGAATAATCGTAGTACATAGCTTACAATGAGGTTGTCCAATCGTTCCGAAAAAGTAGACGATCCTTTGGCTTGGACACTTCCTAGCATGCTCTCAAATATCTCCCATTGATACATTGAGGTAGCTATTACAACAGGCACTTTCAGCTTCTGAGCTATGCCTATCTGGAAATCGTTCAGAAAGTAACCGATCATAACCAGATCGAACTGATTATCCGTGTTCTCGTAGAGATCGATAACACGTCGATCTTTCATTACATTTCGGTTTTTCTCAAATGCAAATGACACTTGATCCCGCAAGCGAAATAAAGCTGAAATCATTTTGGAATTGTCTCTTTCAACCATGCTGGCTATGCTGGCATCCTGTGATAGCTGCTCCTCTTTGGTGAGTGGTATGTATATCAGATTTATGTTTTTGTGAGTAACGTGGGGATTCAGAGTTGTGATCACCGTCACATTGTGTCCATTCTCGGCCAGCACCTTGGCCATTGAAATTTCCACAATTAAATGCGAGGGAAAAGCGCAGCTGAAAACTGCGAGAATATTTGCACCGCGAGCACTGCTCATAAAAAGAACTCCGAGCAACGAGAAGAATAGAATCTGAGGCGACATGTTGACGGTTTGAGTGTTAAGCTAAGACTGATCAGTGATGGCTACTGGCTACTGATAATTTTCTATCTAATTTTCCCCCACCTTCAGGCCTTTGTAAGTTTTTCTAATGTAACGAGCTGCTATTTGTCTGCAATCAGTCGCTTTCAACTGAGGCAACAGTCCAAGAGATGAGTCCACATTCAAATCTAAACACGCTTTATCAGTAGGCGGTAATCTACGAAGTCCGTAAATGGACACAGTGTAAATAAATATGTTACAGAGTGTAAACCATAAATTTTGTAAGAACTTAAACTACATTTGAAAAAAACAATGATAAGAAAACAGTTGATTTTCAATAATATAATTCCGCATGTAAAATATCAGAGAGAAACATAATTAAATAGGATAATCTCTTATTTAAGTGTATTGAATGTTTATATTTGTTATTGGGGGATATTTTAATATGTGCCACCAAAATTAGGCATTTCAAATGAAGATTTAAATTAATTGCAGTCTGTTCCATAAATTGCAAATTATCAAAATACTTAGATTAAATTATCAAAGTCAATATAAACTTGCTAGAAAACAAAGAAATATACTTTCAAATAAGCCCGTTTCTGATAACCTTGAGACATATACATATATACATAACTGATAGGCGTTCATTTACCTAGCCAATCAGCTACATTAAAGAAAGTCAAATTGTTCACTTATTAAGTATTTTTTTAAAAGAAAGAATTATATATGGCAATCTTAGTTAATTTATTTAGTCTTTAGTTTCATGGCCTTTCCAACAATTTCTTTTCTGGTGGCCAATGCGTTAAGTTTTCTGTATACACTCTTTAATACTACTTTACTAATAATAAGAAAAACAATTAATAAACTTAATAGCAATGCATAAACATCCAAGTTATTGGCTGCTATGAAGCCCATGTGAACCAGGGGACTTTGCAGATGAGGTGCTCCATGATGTCTCAGAACATACTCGGTCCAATAGAGCACGCTCTGACGCGCAGTCAATGGGCGATCGCGGAATAGCTTCGAAAAAGCTTTTACTTTTTGCGTATATTCGGGATTCTCGAGAACTTCTATAATTTTGTCATGAAAAGGTTGCTCCTCCAGGGTTAACAAGCTCATGCTTTGGCCAAACCCATCCTTCACCATTTTTTCAGCATTGGCAGGCTGATCGCCAAACACAGGAAGCGAGAGCATGGGCTTTCCATGAAACTGAGACTCGGTAATGCCGCCTCTTCCTGCGTGATTTATAAAGAGCCTGATTTTGGGGTGCGCTAGAATATCATCCTGTGGTAACCATTTTGAGTATAGTATATTATCTGATTTGCCAGGAGTCTTATCCAGATTTTCCCATTTCCAAATGACTCTCTGTTTTAGTTTGGACAGCACATTGAACATCCTGGTGACTGTATCGGTCTGCAAAAAGGTTCCCTTTACATGTGAGCCCAGGCTTAGAAGGATAACACCATGTGTAGCATTCTCTATAAAATCTCCAATTTCTCTGGGCAAAGGCTCGGGCTTTTCCTTGATTTGTATTCCCCCTACATCTATGGCTCCCGGAAAACTGGGCCTAATGGGACCCTCACTAAGGGCATGAGAATTGAAGAATATAAGCGATACATTTTTGTTCAGATCCTCATATTTTGGCATGGTCGGATCGCTACCATAGAGCTCGCTGAAAAAATTATAAGGCTGTGAGCATTTCCTTAAAAAATTTCTCGTTAAGATCGACTTACTTGTAAGCTTCTGCATTATCTTTTTCCGTAAGGTACATATTCATCTTAAAGGCACTGAGTGACAGGTAATTGATTAATCTTTGTGCAAAAGTCATTATTCGACCCTTTTCGACGGAAATAAACATTGTTGGAACATAGGCTTGTTCGCCGATATCACCTAAGAAAACATCGAATATTCTTGATTGGAATAACGAGGTCGCTATCACAACAGGCACTTTGAGTTTCTGAGCTATGCCTAACTGGAAGCTGTTAAGGTAGTAACCGAGCATAACCAGATCAAACTTGTTATCCTTGTTCTTGTAGAGATCCTGCACACGGGGATCTTTCATCACATTACGGTTTTTGTTAAATAAAAACGACGCTTCTTTTCGCATGCGAAACGCAGTTACAAGCATGTTGGAATTGTCTCTCTCAATCATGCCGGCCAGGAGAGAGTCCCGTGCTTGCTGCTCCTCCTTGCTGAGTGGTATGTATATGAGGTTTATGTTTTTGTGAGTAACATGCGGCCTTAGAGTTGTGATCACCGTGACATTGTGTCCATTCTCGGCCAGTACCTTGGCCATTGACATTTCCACAATTAAATGCGAGGGAGCTGCACAGCTGAATACTGCGAGAATGTTTGCACTCCGAGAAACATTGATAAGAAGGGCAACGAGGAACAACCAGAATAAAGTCTTAGGAGACATGTTCGCGGTTTGAATATTCGGCATAAACTAATCTCTAAGCAGAACGGGCAATGCCTTTTATAATGGAAGCAGGCAGACAATTTGACAAATATGAAACATTCTTGAGTTAAAATTGACACTAAGATAAACTAGAGAGCAGGTAAAAGGCACACCGAAGATGAAATACCCTTGAAGACATATGTTTTTTGAGCTTGCGGATATGTGAAGAGAATTGTAAATCCCATAATGCCCATAAATTTAATGACGACTGATTCATCTAAAAGGCTATTTTAATGAAGTTTACTGATATTGGTTAGGAGCATAGTGAAACTAATTAATGCCAGCACTTGGTCCAGTCATCTATAACATATGATATAAGGATGTCAGTATTTTTTCGGACATAAGCAAAGTATCATCTTGATATCTATAATACAGAGAATTGATTGCATAGAAACAGATAGACAAAGAAACAGACATTTAGAAAGACACATGCTAAACAAAATATTATAAACATTATGTTGTCGGGGATATTCCCTTCTTTGCTCACTCATATCATGAGAAAATAAGAATATACCCAACGAGTATAAATAATTATAATTTCTTACTCATGTTAATTGCTTTGTTAATGATTTATATCTCAGTTAAGTGCAAAATGTCAATTTATTTAGATAACCAAATGGCTTCAGTTGCTTGTTAGCCAATATATATACTTTCAAATCAACCCGATTATGATAACCGTAAGTGCTTTATAGCTGATATGAGTTCATTCTACCCAGCCGATAATCTCCTTAAACAATAATCAAATCACGCGATTGTTCTCTTAACTGTTAACATCAATGTCAAATGACGAATGAAAAACGAAAATATAAGATTGAAAACATAACTTATTTATTGATTTACTTAGTCTTCAACTTCTTGGCCTTCCCAACATTTTTTTCTTTTTTTGTATTTCCTGTTAGCTTTCTGTAAAGACTTTTTATAACTACTTTGCTTATTAATAAAATAATAATTAGGAAACTAAATAACAGCGCATAAACATCCAAATTATTGGCTGCTATGAAGCTCATGTGAACTAGGGGACTTTGCAAATGAGGTGCTCCATGATGTCTCAGAACATACTCGGTCCAATAGAGCACGCTCTGACGCGCAGTCATTGGGCGATCGCGGAATAGCTTCGAAAACGCTTTCACCTTTTGGGTATATTCGGGATTCTCGAGAACTTCTATAATTTTGTCATGAAAAGGTTGCTCCTCCAGGGTTAATAAGCTCATGCTTAGACCAAACCCATCCTTCACCATTTTTTCAGCATTGGCAGGCTGATCGCCGAACACAGGAAGCGAGAGCATGGGCTTTCCATGAAACTGAGACTCGGTTATGCCGCCTCTTCCTGCATGATTTATAAAGAGCCTGATCTTTGGATGTGCTAGAATATCATCCTGTGGTAACCATTTTGAGTATAGTATATTATCTGATTTGCCAGGAGTCTTTTCCAGATTTTCCCATTTCCAAATGACTCTCTGTTTTAGTTTGGATAAAACATTGAACATGTTTTGGACTATGTCGGCCTTTAAAAAGGCTCCCTTTACATTGGAGCCCAGGCTCAGAAGGATAGCACCGTCTGTAGCATTCCGTAAAAAATTGTCAATTTCTTTGGGCAAGGGATCGGGCTTTTCCTTGATTTGTATTCCTCCTACTTCTATGGCACCTGGAAAACTAGGCCTAATGGGACCTTCACTGAGGGCATGAGAATTGAAGAATATTAGCGATACATTTTTGTTCAGATCCTCATATTTTGGCATGGCCGGATCGTTTCCATAGAGCTCGCTGGAAAAAAATGATCCCTTAGACACTCCCTTTAGAAATTTTGTTGAAGTCACTTACTTGTATGCCTCTAGATTATCTTTTTCCGTAAGATACATATAAGACTTAAAGGCACCGAGTGTAATTAAATTGGACAAGCGTTGTGCAAAAGTCATTGCGCGCCCTTTTTCGACGGAAACAGATACTGTTGGAACATAGGCTTGTGCTTGGATATTGCCTAACATGACGTCGAATATTTCCGATTGGAACATCGAGGTCGCTATTACAACAGGCACCTTTAGCTTTTGAGCTATGCCTAACTGAAAGCTGTTCAAGAAGTAACCGAGCATAACCAGATCGAACTTGTTATCTTTGTTCTCGTAAAGATCCTGGATACGGGGATCTTTCATTACATCGCGATTTTTATTAAATATTAACGACAATTCCTTCCGCATGCGAAAGATAGCCGTTATCATGTTGGAATTGTCTCTTTCAACCATGTTGGCCAGGCCAGAGTTCTGTAACTGCTGCTCCTCCTTGGTGAGTGGTATGTATATCAGGTTTATGTTTTTGTGAGAAACATGCGGCTTTATAGTTGTGATCACCGTCACATTGTGTCCATTCTCGGCCAGTACCTTGGCCATTGACATTTCCACAATTAAATGCGAGGGAACGGGGCAGCTGAATACCGCGAGAATATTTGCACTCTGAGAACCATTGATAAGAAGAGCACCAAGGAATGTCAATAACAATGTCTGGGGAGACATGTTGGCGGCTTGAATATTCGGCGAATACTGATTTTTAAAAAACTAAGGGATATGCCTTATATTATCACAGCTGATATGAATTATTTTTGATGGTCACAATGAAAATTTTAATTTTGAATACTGTTGAGTTAACAATGATATTCAAAATTGAGTGCCACGCTGATAATGCCAGCTACTATTTGCCGGTAGCAACTATTTTAAAACGACAGTCTGTTCGATAACTATGCGTAACTGATTAACAGAGTCTACGTATCGCTTATTATCTGTAGTTGTACTGATATATGTTTGCAAGCATTTTCCTAAAAACACAGCGGATTGATAGGGCTGCAAATGATATATATATGTATTTATATACTTATATAATGCTTAGATTAAATTAATACGTTAAGGTTGGGCAGTACAAAGCTGATTAAATGGCCAATACGCGTCTAAACATACGCCCCCCGTACAACCCTATACAATCAACGTTGAAAGATCAAACAGGCATAGGGTATTCAATAAAAGCACTGGATCATGACCTTACTCACTGCAAAAGCTGTTGCAGCTCATAATTTCACCACAAGATAATGCTGTTACGTTTGATCGTGCTATCAGGCAGGTTCGCGATAAGTGCGCCTTATCGATGCTGATTTAAAGAGCTGCGTTGGCCACATTGCCAAACAGTGTTTGTTCAACGATCGTTCCGGCAGCATGGCTTGTGCTACTAATCGCATTCTGCTACTCGCAATAGTTGGCGCTGTTTTTATCAGCGGCAGCCAAAGCGCCAATATACTGGGCGTTTTTACGAGTCTGAGTCCATCGCATTTGATTGTGCAAATGTCCATGGTCAAGGTGCTGGCGGAGAACGGGCACAATGTGACGGTGGTAACAATTCTGAAGCCGCCCGTTACCCACAAAGATATCAACGTGGTGCAGGTGCCGCTCTCCGACGAGGATCAACGTATGATGAGCGCAACTATCGGCAAAATGGTAGCCAGCGATAACAGCAACATGATCGTTTCTATGTTCCGGATTATGGGCCAAATGAAGTTAATGTTTGAAAAGATGAGAGATGCCATGTTGGACCAGCGAGTGAAGAACTTATACGAGAACAAAGACAACAAGTTCGATTTGGCTGTGATTGGCTACTTCATGAACAACTATCAGCTTGGCATTGCACATAAGCTGAAGGTGCCAGTGATATTAGCGGCCACTATGCCACCAAATCAATTGTTTAATAATATGCTGGGGAATCCTCAGTTGATCTCACATGTGCCGGCAATGCCTGGGGTTAATGTAAAAGGTCAGCCAATGACCTTTTTACAGCGATTAAAAAACTATATAACCACCTGCGCTATGGGAATTTTTATGTGGATTTTGGAAGACCATGATGCCAAAGATTACAAGTAAACAAGATTCCCAACCACACGAGCGACAAATATTTAAAATAATCATATATTTCCAGAAAGGTCTATGGCGATGATCCAAACATGCCCCCCTATGAAGATCTGACTAAGAACGTTTCGCTCGCATTCTTTAGTTCGCATGCCCCCAGCGAGGGTCCCATCAGACCCAATGTGCCGGCAATAGTAGAGGTTGGCGGCATTCAAATTAAAGATACACCAGACGAATTGCCAAAAAAAATTGCCGATTTCCTGAGCGATGCTAAAGATGGCGCCATTCTCCTCTGTCTTGGCTCCAATGTAAAGGGCGCTCACTTGAAACCCGACACAGTCCAGAACATGTTCAATGTTCTGTCCAAACTCAAGCTGAAGGTCATTTGGAAATGGGAAGATCTGGATAAGACACCTGGCAAATCAGATAATATACTCTATTCCAAGTGGCTGCCACAAGATGATATCCTAGCTCATCCCAAGATTAAGCTCTTTATAACTCACGCAGGTAAAGGCGGCATCACAGAGGCCCAGTATCATGGAAAGCCCATGCTGGCCCTGCCTGTGTTCGGCGATCAGCCTAACAATGCTGAAAAGATGGTCAAAGATGGGTTTGGACTCAGTTTGAGTCTAGCAACACTGGAGGAGCAGCCTTTCCATGAGAGTATTATGGAGGTCTTGAATAACCCTCAGTACTCACAGAAAGTACAGACCTTCTCTTCCCTTTATCGCGATCGACCAATCTCAGCCCATAAGAGTGTGCTCTATTGGACTGAGTATGTTCTGCGCTATAATGGTGCACCCCATTTGCAGAGTCCTCTGGTACACATGAATTACATATCAGCCAATAATTTGGATGTTTATGCGCTGTTAATAACTATCTTATTGGTATTTCTTTTCATAAGTAAAGTCATTTTTACTAAGTTATATAGAAAACTGTTCGGTAAGGCGCAGAAAACTAAAAAAATAAAAAAATCTTAAGCTTAAGACACCAAAAAATATATTTCTTATTTTATTTTAATTGCATCATGTATTTGGGCATTCAAATTTAAATATTTCAGCCTGTCTACACAAATGAAACACTGATAAAGCTGATAAATCGTTTTAAATACTCTAGATAATGTGTTATAGATAACACTAGTAGTTATCTGACCGAATAAAGCACTTGACTGATTGAGAACGTATATTTGAACATACCATGCTATAATTTTATAATGTTCAATTCTGAAATGAGTAGCAGCTTTTACGCTTGGGGGGAATATCATATTTAGAATATAAGCCCGTTCATAATCATATTCATAGCAAACTTTCGCTGTACTAGTCATATGATATATAGTATAAAGGTAATGGACCTTAAATACTTTCATATTTTCTGGCCAACTAGTGGAAACCAAAAGTCATTTTTCACTGCATCCTTTACTACCGAAGGGAAGGGGCTTACTGCTAAAATACTTGGCAACTTTATTACACAAATTCACAAAATACTTTTGCACGTCGCAATGTTGTTGTCTGGGCTTATATTTCCCATACACTTGAACAGTATAATTTGCAAAAAACTAGAAATTCTTCAAACTATCCAACGTGCGCACTGAAAACAAAATAACATTTTGCAATAAGCAAATTTCAATTGAAATAGCAAACGGAAAAGGCATGCTGAAAACCCTCAATTCCAAACGCCCCTCCTAACCGTGCGCCCAGCCCAACGTGGTCGATGGAACGTAGACGGTTTCGGTTTCTTTTTGTACAGAAATAAAAAAAAAAGAACAAACAGCAACGAACAAGTAAATTGAAAAGCATCCCAGAAATCTGTGCAATTGTTGCGTGTAGATGTGTTTGCACTTTTCTGCATGAAAATGCCAATTGTGGAGCAGAGCGCCGCCAATGAGGCGAGATACGAGAGCAAAGACTTTGGGTAAGCAGGGTGAGGATCCTCCAATAACATTTGCAGACAATACTATTGTGAAACGCGTGAATTATTTTGTAATTAATGCTGAAATTGTTTATTGGACTCCTCTTCGTTTAGCCACTCGTCCAATCACTTTTTTATTAACTGCCAGGTGAGAAGGCAAAAATTTCATTAGGTTCTTATCAAATATTTCGAGTGCACACATGCAAAAATATGTTTTAAAATATGAAAATACCATGTGCACTGGTTTTTCCATTTACCAACGAAATACTTTTAAAATGTTTATAAATGAAAATACGATTTACAGTTAGTTGGGCATTTTCATAGCTAGCAGCAAGTGGCTAACAAAAGTGGAAAAAGTATAGAAAAAGAACATTTTCAGCTTTGTTGGATGAAACCCCGCAAACAATTTCATATGATGGAATGTTATTTCCCTGAGAAAAATGAACGAAAACAATTAATTGAAAGAAGAGCTTATAGAAAGAAATAGTCGAATATTATTAATACCCTAACTGGGTATAATAAATGTTATAGTAAAACAATCTATTTAAACATTGGTCCTTTCCATATGGATAAAGAAAATGTTGGCTTAAAGAAAAAAAAAGATTAAAATGAATTTTATGATATATAAAGAATAATTTAAGTTTTTATCTTTGAATTGTATATCTTTTCACAAAATTATAAAACTCTATTAAAACCGTTTACAAACTTGATCAAGTTTATCAATATTTATTAATTATGCTAGATTTTTTAGAAAAACAGCAACTTCCCCCTTCACTCGAGTGTTTGCCTTCTGATATACTCTCTGATATTGATCAACCCTGCATTTATCCATTCGGAAATTCGTTTCTCATGCATATGTTTTCTAAATATTTATCTATCTTTAATTTACTTAATTGCATAATGCGCCGCTTCAGGATCACCTCATGCATATGAATTTCATTCAACTAATTTGTTTTGCAATCCTGTTTCTAACCCCCGAAAAAAACTAGTTTTTACCATTCCTGGCTGTTTACCCAAAAACTGTTCCCATTAATGTGTCGCTGTTGGCAGTTTGTTTAATTAAATGTGGAACAACACAATGCTGAGCAATGCTCACGATCCCGAGTTCCTTTGACAAACATTAAAAAGAAGAACGCATTTCCATTGAAAACCTTTTCAAGTGCTTAACATATCCAACAATACTAAAAAAACAAGAATCTCTGTCGAGTGGAATAGCAAAAACAAAAATGTATATAATACAAAAACTTGCCGCGTCATGGGCATTGTCAAATGAAAACATTTTACGCAGTAGTCGGCGCATAATTCATAAAGCCGCAGGGGATACGACGATCCCCGTACCACATACCACATACCACGCACCGTTCCCATTCTCTGCCCCTGCCCCAGGCAGTAGTTGTTCATGATGCGTGTGATATGCGTAACCTACCCTACAGCCCTAACCTCAAGTGGCAGTGGCAACTGATATGTCTCAATCAGGACACACAGGACAGGAGTACTCTCAACCCCGACCCCAGCCTGCCCGACAGCCTACTCTTGCTTCTTTCTCTGGCAATTTGCACTCCGCACGTGTCCCATGCAATTGCAATTACTTTCGGTTCAGCATTTTAACGATGGGAAAGTGCATTTTCGGTTTCCCGGCTTGAAACTTTTTCGCGCACTTTGCCCAAATTCAATTTCGATTATATATATTGCCCAGGAAGGTTGCGTGGGAAAATCGTT